TGAGACCTAAGAGATGGATATGTTTACCTCCATCGCCCGTTGATCTTTCCAGGCATCATAACAGCGCCAGTGAGTTCATCGTTTTCAAACAAAGGAGCGACTTTGTATCTGATGTGCGCGATTCTTTGGTTTCTTGTTGGTGTGCCTCTGTTGCAATTTCAACATACTTTGGCTCAATTTTTACAAAGTGGTCCTCTGGTAATTGATTTATCTCAAAAATCGATTTTTCTCATTGTTTTTCCATTTTTCTCAGAGGGCGTTCTCTCTTTTGCATCCACGAGCTGGAGGCATCGGAGTTGCAGTCACAATGCTTGCGTTTGTTCGTTCTCTCAAAATCCTCAGTGAGTTGCTTTTAAACTCATTTCTCCAACTCATTTCTTTTTTTTCAGGGCTATTGGGGGGAAATTCTTATTTACATTTATGCCTCTTTACATACTGAATTACCTTGGGCAATTCCAAAAAAACATTTAAAAGAATGTTTCGCACGCATGGGAGATCACGATGCATGCGTCTCCTTACATTTTTGTCGCGATTTTGACGCAAAATTCAACGGCACTTGCTACACCAGTCCGCTTCACTCAGTAGGTGTTAATTCACATGTTGTTATTGATCGGGTGTCCCAATTTTTAGGTAACGGAATTCTATCGTAATCGTCTGAAAACACCATTAGATCCATCCCCAGTCGGATGTAATGGAACTGTTGCAATTACTGTTCTCGTTTCTGTTGTTTTGGCGGCGGCCCTTCTTCTTACGGGATTGCGTCTCATTGGCCAGTGTATGTCAAATCATCTCTCCATTATTGTTTTACCTGAATGCTTGTAGTGGCGACCTTTACTGTTATCTCCACTGTCATTATTCTGTTTTTCATCGGATCCATGACTTTGCAACATACAGGAGGTCAAGCCGGCATGCGTCTCTTTTTCGGTACGATCTCATTTTGATAATTATTGTCTGACAATCAATATTTCAGAATACACGCGCTTCGAAGATTTTTTTCCATTTATCCGAGTGGATCGCGGCCGCATCGATCGTTGTTCGCATGGGTGTGACTGCGTTTGGTGTTCAAACAATAGTGACAAGTTATACAAGGTGCGTCTCATATGAATCACGATCAGCTGCATTTCATATGCTTGTCCTTCAGAATTGGAGATAATGTTCTTCCACTTGGATGGGTGCATCGCTTGCATCTTCTTAATTGTTTCTGTGTTCTCTCTTTTAATCGTCTATGTGCTTGAGGGGTAAAATTAATTTAATATTTTATACTCTTGTATTCCTTTTTCAGAACACTGTATGCTTCTGATCTCACTTCTGGATTTGCTGCTGCGATGGCTCGAAATGGTCTTGTTCCCAATGCCGGATTAGTTGCATCGCTTGTCGAGCGAGAATTAAATGGTCCTGAATTTCGCATTGCTCTCGACAATTACTTAGAGCACGCTCATTCACCTTCCCTTCTATTTGTACTATATGCTTGGGGTTTAACACAATTTCCAGGAGCATCTTTTCTTTCTTTGGTTTTCTATTTTTCCATGGCTTTGATGTCTTTAGTGTCGCTAGCATGTACTGCTTTAATCGTTGTCGCAGCTTTAAATGTGAGTTTTCTTCTTTTTGTAAAGTCGATTCATTCCTTCTTTCAGGAAACCACAAGGTTTGAAAAAACCTCATTTTTAAAGTTGGTCTTATGTGTCTTCGCCGGAATGTATGCCGTGTCAATCCCAACATTTCTGACATATTCGATTGATGGAAAATTCGTTGTAGGAAGAGAGGTATGACAAATTGATTGCTATGAAGATCTAATGATGATTAGTGCTCCAACTTCTGTAACACTTTCTTCTCTTTCAGTTAACGGAACTCCCTGCTGCTTCATTTGCGCATCTTGGAGCTCCAATAATTTCGATTTCTCAAGTTGTTGCGGTACGTCCACTCAACGATTGTTCCGTTTGAACCTTGTCTTCTATTTTGCAGACTTGCTTGATTTTAGGATACAAAAGGCAACGGAAAAGCTTTCCGCCATGTATGGAGATCACTAGTCGCTCTTATGTGCTATTTCTTCTTTAGGGGCAGGCCCGTGTGTTTTTATAACCGTAGGAGTCGGTCTCTCCGTCGCAGGGCTCACCAGTAAACTAACTGATGGATGGATGGCTTACGTTATCCCAACAAGTCTCTTCATGATTCTTTCTGTTGGAGTTCCTTTGCTGATAGCAAAAAGTGGACAAGGAGTTTCTTATAAGGTGTGTGACATCAACTTCAGTTAGTCTGAATTATTGAATCAGGCGAATCTCCGAACGCTTCTAACGGGAGATGTGGAAGAAGTTCGCGGCAAGATCAATGGGGTCTTGGCTGGTAGGCACTGAATTGAATAACGTTCTTGGTATGATGTTCTTTGTTATCAGCGTATCGTCAACCTTATCATGGATGTAGACTTCCATATATTTGGTCATGGGCATTCAAATATGCTGTAATCATTGTATTCCTTTCTCTGATGCCATTTGTTTCAACTGATTACATTAATGGTGCAACGCCAAGTGAATTGGCAGCGGGTAAGCATCAATCATAAATCATGTACCAGACCTGTTCTTCTCAGATGTTGTTGTTACTACAATTGCTCTCATTCCAATTATCCTCGTTGCTATCTTTCCTCAAATCATAGCAGTTCTGCTGCCTCCTCCAGAACGCCGCTGGTCCCTAGATAAACTGAACTGCCAGTCGCCTCAAGTAACGCACCTGTTGAGACGACAGACAGTCTGGTTCTGGGAGGAGTTTCTATCACCACAGACGCTTTGGGAGAAAGCTTCTGTATTAGAACCGAAACTTGTTCAGAGATGACAGTCTCGCGTATATTGGTTTTCATTGTCGCACAAGACATAACAGTTGTCCTGGTTCAGAAAAGGGTCCTGGGACGTGGGACGAATTCTTGACAAAGTATCCTGTTTCTGCCTTACACTCTCCTGGATAGCTTAAACTGCTTTCTTGTGAAATTAACCAAGATGGCCGCTATCGCAACCAGTGAAATTCCCCAAGCCCAAAAGGAGGAGCTGTTCTGCACATATGCCGCTCTCATTCTCCATGACGAGAAGATGGAAGTTACCTCTGACAATATTGCCAAATTAGTCAAAGCATCAGGGGGCTTCTGTTGAACCCTTCATGCCAGTTCTTTTTGCCCGCGCTCTTGGCGAAACCAACATTGGGTAGGTTGAATGAATGGGGGTCTGATTGATGCTGTCACGTGTTTCAGTGATTTGCTCTCGAGCGCTGGAACTGTTGGGGCTGCTCCTGCTGGTGGCGTTGCTGCGGTTTCTGGAGGAGGTGGTGCGGCCGCTCCTGCTGAAGAAGCCAAGAAAGAGGAAGAGCCAGAGGAAGAAGAAGATGATATGGGATTTTCTCTCTTCGACTAGGGGAACGATTCGTGCACGTGAATTTTTGACTGGACTGTCAGATAACACTTGATGCCTCTAATTGCTCCTAGTCTTGCCACGTCTTTTTGACCGTCGGAGAACCACTAAGAGAGAGAGAGCTTTGAACATAATTACTGCTCCTTGTTTAATGTTGCTGCCTTGCAATAGAGGAATGGATCAAAGATCTTATTCTGGAGAAATCCAACCTTCCATGGGAAAGGAAAGAAAAACAAAATACCTTGGTGTCACGCCTCAGCTTCGTTCTAATGATCAAATTAAGAGCAAACTCAGATGCGTTGAATCAGTACCTCAACGATGGTTCTTTGTAGGATACTTCAAGCCTTCTCGGCCTTAATGCCTTTTGGAAGTGGTCGTCTCCGCGACTTGGATCATTCAGAAAACTTAGGAAACCAGACGGCCGAAGAACTCCACTATCCGCTTTATTCTTTTCTCGGGGCTCTATGAAGGGCAAACGGGTAGAATGCTGAACAAGCCTTTGCAACTGACTAGGTTGTTTCAAGGATAAATTCTTCAGGACGGCAGGAGCTGCTGTCCTTCTTTTTTTAGTTGTACTTCTGTAACTCAAATTGCTTTTACCTAGAGCTCGTTTCACTACCAGCTCTGGCCTGTCGTTTGCAGCAAGTTCTGTGGTTGGGCTGTCGGATACATCGCGACTCAGTGAGACTTCGTTCAGAGAAAGGTCCTCCAAGGATGAACGAATCGCCAAATAGACTTCCGAGGCTTGGTGCGCCGACGTTGGGATGTTGTCAGCTTCTTTATCCTCGCTCGATTGACAGAAAATAGATCGACATTCACCAAATCGAAACGGGGGGGGATAACTGGGGCTACTTGCAGTAGTGTCTTCGTCGTCCCCTCTGTTCATCCATATCCCACCCGTCAATGCTTTGACTATGCCTTTTGTATGAATGAGGAGTTGTTGAATAGTCTTGCTTAAAACACTTGTAACTGGGGTAATCGGGAACTGAAGACGAGCGAGGTGAAGGAAGAAATGACGGCGAAAACGATGAAGGCGAAGACCCTGATGCAGAAGGACTTGGGGCTTCTTCGACTGAAGGTAGGGTTGGCACGTAGCGCTCCGCCTTGGGAACTTGTTGAAGCTGAAACCGTCAAAGTGAAAACACACGCAGTCTGAAACATTGTAGCACCTTGAAGAGGGGTTGCAATTGGGTTGTTTGCGTTTGGGCTATTTTTCTCCGCATGGTCTGAAAATGTTGGAGATGTAGGTATCGCTAAAGAAGACTCATACCCTCAATGCTCTTCGGAGTTTCACATTCTCCAGCAGCAAGAGCTGTTTCTCATCGATCGCTTGAGCGGTTGAAGGGAATGGCTTGTTGGTGTTGACACTCTCCATCACTTACGATAATCGTTAAAAAATGCATTCAAGTTTGCCTACTTTCGCGCAATAACTCCCAAATAAATAAAAGCTGTATTGCGAAACGACTATTATGTAACACTACCATTTTGACCGTGTTATGGTATGAGTCGTCAGTGAGTCATCTCTTGACAAACAAAGCAAAAAAACTTGACATCATACCCAGCAGAAGCACAAATATGTTAACACGATTGAAGTTGTGGCATTTTTCTCTCCTAGAAGCACTTTCTATGAACGATTGTTGGTCCACTCTCATCATACTCCTCTTTTGAAATCCACATGTTTTGGAATGTCGAGAGTGAAGAGAGAATTGAGCCACCAATCCAGACTGAGAATTTTCTCTCAGGCGGGGCAACCACACGAATCTTCATTGCGCTTGGCGCCAGTGATTGCATGTCTTTGGTTAGCCGTTCGCTCAATCCATCATACATTGTTGTGCCACCCGATAACACAATATTGTTATATAGGTCCTTCCTAATATCAACGTCACATTTTTGGATGGAGCTGTAAGTCAAATGATGAATTCCTTGGTCTTCTTTTCCAATGAGGGACGGATTGAACAAAGCCTCTGGGCATTGAAAACGTTGCTTTCCAACAGTAATGACGTTCATATCCGGAAGTTCATATTGCACCTCACAAGTGCAATTCTCGCCTTGGTTTCGCACCTCTGAGAAATCAGGTGTTAAAGTTGCCGCAGATATTTTCAGTCAACCTACCCATCTCATAATCCTGCGCTACATAGCACAGTTTTTCTTTGATGTCGCGAGCAATCTCTCTCTCTGCTGAAGTACTCAATGTGTATCCAGTTTCCGTCAACAAACGTTGCATGTAATTGGTCAGATCTCTTCCGGCCAAATCGAGGCGCAAGATAGCGTGTGGCAGTGCGTAACCTTCATAGATGGGCACTGTATGTGAGACGCCATCTCCACTGTCAAGTACGATTCCAGTAGTACGACCAGATGCATACAAAGAAAGAAGAGCCTAAGGGCCAAAACAAATCTTGAAACAGAAAGGAAACTATTTAGAGTATCCACCTGGATGGCGACATATGTTGCTGGCGCTCCGAAGGTTTCAAACATAATTTGCACCATTCGCTCTCGGTTGGCCTTCGGGTTGAGCGGCGCTTCAGTCAGCAAAACTTGGTGCTCTTCAGGATTCGCGCGCAGCTCATTATAGAACGTATGATGCCAGATTTTTTCCATATCATCCCAATTTGTAATAATACCGTGTTCAATCGGGTATTTCAATATCAATATTCCTGAGTTATTCATAACTTCAGTCTGTTAAGGTATGGACACACCTCTTTTGCTTTGGGCTTCATCGCCGACAAAACAGTCCTTTTGATCAACGCCAACCATGATGTTTTGATGCTTTGGGCCTGGCAATGGGAAGCCCATAGATCTGAGGGTTTCTACCAATTAATGCTTACGGCCAACGATCGACGGAAATACACATCGGGGGGCATCATCACCTGCAAAGCCGGCCTTGACCATCCCCGACCTAAAGAGAAAATGAGTTCATTTATCACGGCGCTGATTGTTTGGAATCACCCGTTATCAACAACCAGCGGCACCATATCTTCACCCATCTTGTCCAAATTGTTTGACCAATACCGTTGAAATGTGACGAACTACCGGTGAAATGAGACGAACTAAACAAGAAGTTTTAGCTCAACAATGAAATATCTGATGCAATGCCGCTTCTTCTGGGATTGTTGTCCTTCCCGCTAGGCGTGAATGAATGATCTCAAGTAATTAGAATTCAACTTTTGAATTAATTTCTATGCTGCACGTAAGTAAAGTGGAATCTCACTTATTTGATGGTGGGGGTTTCCTGTGGAGGTTTTTTAAGTCTGTGAGGCAAACTCGATAAACAGAAAATGGTAAATTATTGAAAACCAAAGCTGAGGCCATTCGTTTTGGACACCTCAGAGCAACACTAAATCTTCACCTAGCTAAATTCAGCTGGATGTCTGAATCCGGCACCTAAACTCAGCTAGAGATTCGGCTCAGTACCATGAGAAAAAAGGTCGATGAATAACCTGGCCTTTGTAGTGCTTGTCGTTTTGATGCGCGCTTCTAGCATGCAGATGACCCAACTCCCTTTCCGCGGTCCTAATCTGGCAGTTCGGCACTCAGTCTCCGGTAAATACATCCGTCTTCCGTTTCCAACGGAGTTGGCGTGTTTAATTTTTCAATTTAGTGATTTATTATTTTCCTCCAATCGACTCTTCTCCCCGTTTCTTTTTATGCGTAACGCTCCGCCCGTTCCACCCTCTTTGGAGGATGTGGATGACTGTCCTCCTTTCTCACGACTGTCAGATCAAGGTATCTATTCAGATTCGATTTCCAAAGAGCTGGAGAATTCTTTAACAATGGCTGCTGTAGCTGCTACAACTCCTGTGAAGTCCACAAAGCAGATTCCTGAGTCTTTACAAAAACGCATCACCAAAACAAAGCTCTGCATTCATTACGCTCGAGGTCGCTGCATTCGTGGCGAACTCTGTTCCTTTGCTCACAGCAGCAGTGAGCTCAGGGAACCACCGAATCTGCAGAAAACACGATTATGTGTCGCCTGGATCATGACGAACTCTTGTTTTAAGGGAAATGACTGCAAGTACGTTTCTCTCCTGACAACACATTCCTTACTCTTGTTCCACAGATATGCTCATGGCCAAGCTGAGCTGCGATGGACTCCTGAGTTTTATCGGACGTCTCTTTGTCCGTCATTGAAGACGCCGTTGGGATGCTTAAGACGGGATCAGTGTCGCTACGCCCATTCCCCCCTTGAGCTCCGAGCAATGTCTGAGTTAAGTCGTCCTCCATCAGACGACTGGGTCCCTCCGCCGCCAACGAAAGTCAATATGATGCATAAGTCCCACTCGATATCCAACGAAATCCCTTGCTGGCGCACCGGAAAAACAATCTCGCCCGAGTCTCAGAGGAGCGCGTCTCCGGGGTTGCTTCTATCCGATAATTCTCCAGATTACCCAGAAGCCGATACGCCAATTGTCCGCTATCCCACAGCGCGAAACATGTACCAGAATGGAAGGTTTCAACGTGGTTCAGGAATGGAATTCGATCCTGAAATCTCCTCCCTGAATCTACTTTCAAGGGGTCGCGAGTCCTCGATTGGTCCAGTGGATCTCTATACGCTGAGCCCTCTGGATATTTTGAGAGATGTTTTAAACACTGTGGGAGCAGCCACCATGGGAGCCCCGGGTCTTTCACCACTTCACCAAAGCAAGAAACAAGTGTCCCTCTCCGTGCCTCAAGAAGAGTCCCTGGTGTCCCTCTCCGTGCCTCAAGAAGAGTCCCTGATGTCCAAATCAACTGTCGAATCGGCGTTTCGCGAAAGTGGAACATCGGGAAGCGGCGGCATCAAGGACGAGCACTCAGAACTTCTACATGAGAGCTTCAAAGGGCTCGCTGGATCATCTTTGCCGTTATTCCCGGAACCAATCGAGCGCGCCAGACAACTTCAAATGCAGGGCAAATTGAGCTGTGAGAGCGAATGGAGCAATTCTTCCTTAGATCTGAACAACCTTGTTTCCATTTGGACTGAAATGACTGTCGCATCGGAATCTGACTTGGCAGCTCTGAATGTCCGTCATAAAAAACGTGAGAATACTAAGGCGTTTGATCAAGAACAATTTTGGCGTGCAGAATCGCCTCTGAATTTCAACACAAACCCTAGGAATGTTTCCCAAAGCGAACCCCTGGAGTTTATTCTCGAAGATCTGATGAGTGACCGAGAGCGAAATTCCCTTTCTTTGCTCTAGTCCATGGATTGTTAGAATCGTTTATAGTTTCATACGAGTAGTCTTTTTTCCCCGCTTTTCAAGTGTATTTCAACAAACTGCACTATAATAGATTCCTTTTGTCAGTCGGGCATTGGGAGAGATGATGTCACAAGTTGTCCTGAAATTAGAAGCCATCGATCGAACCCTCTTTCCGGATATAAGCAACTGACCTGCCATCGCGATTTTCCCACACCCAGTGAAGGATGACCCTGTTCAGCAGAGCTATCAAATCTTGTGCTTCTTCAAATCTCACCTCGAACTGCGGCCACTACACTTTTGGCATAATCACAGGAGGTGCAGCTAACGGCTCCTTCAACAGAGAATTTTATCGTTATGGAGAGTCATGAGTTTTACCTGCTCCCAAGGCAACCCACGCGCTGAAGGAAAAAACGTAGTTAAGAAGCAGTACTCTGGCGCTCTCACCACCCCACGCTGGGATCACTGCAGCGACAATCCTGGCAAGGCGAGATAAGAGGAGGTGATCGAGAAGAACGGGCACACCTCACAAAAGGTGTAATCTGTAGCTAGAAATCCGTGTGATGTCATCATGTGCGCGTTCGTGCAGCCCCCCACCGTAGGCTTGCAGCATCTGTCGAACGTAGTTTGCAGACGCGCTATTGGGGGTACTATTACCGTTTGCACACCTCCTGCGTGCAATACTGGGCGCTTGTAATAAGGGGAAGCAATACAACAACAGCGAGCAGAGAATGAGCTTGCCGCATCCAATCTAGTTAATACTGACGGATATTTTATTGAGGTCGAGCACTTTTAGCATAGTGTTCACGGCATTCCGTTGGGCTCCCGCATGGCCACAGAAAAATTTGGATTTTCGAACTAACCTGAAATTAGTTTAAATATTCAGCAATTTAATATTCTTTGATGGCAGTTTTCTTGTTCCAATCAACATGTGCGTTCTTCCTGCTGTCAGTTCAACACCTGTGTCCTATGATATTTCTGGGAGAGGCAGCGGTTCCGCCCCAACCAGAGCAGAATTCAATTCTCCAAGGAACACTTGGTAGGAACTTATCGAAGCAAAAAATGACGCTATGTTGTTGGGCCAGATATTGGAGGGCGGAAATTCACCGCAGCCTGCAACTGTCGCTCTCCTGAACGGGGTCTGGGTTCCAACATTGGCGGAATTCTTTGCAATCCGAGCAAAATAACAATAATATCAGGTGAGTTCGGTTATGTGGCAGTTGAGAAACTTCTGGGAAATCTTAGATCACGGCACCACCGGGTTAACGAACCAAGATGTGCGCAAACTCTATGCACAACCACGAGACATCGGTAGGGATCTACTAGGCAGAAAGACACTGAATTATTGTTCTCAGAAATGATTGATGTGCAGTACCAAAAGTTTGTCTGTATGGATGATCGTGTAACTGAACCAAGCTTGTTAACACCTGGAGGTGATTTAGGCGAATTTCTACTCGGGCTTAGCATTCTGGTTAATACAAATAGCGCAACACCACTTGCAATCGACGAACCAACAATTATCAATTTAATGTCAAAATATGCGCAAAGTCTTCCCCCTTCTCGCCAATTCTACCATTGTAACGATGATTTATCCGTCGCTCATTTAGAAAAGGAGTTAGCGCTTGTTGGTCTTGATCTGGTACACATCACCGAAGCACTCCTGATCACACATTACAATCCCTCAGACGAAACCCCCTGAAGCGCATAAGGCTGCCCTACTTCAAAAATTACAACAAGCCCCTAATCACGGTGACACTCACCTACGAGCAATTTTATCGGTAGGTTGCGATTCTTGTGCTTGAAGATTGTTTTTTAAGCATCCTGAAAGATATCATATCTCATCCGATCTCGCTGCCAAGACAATTCAATCCTTCTACTCCATTCTGTGGGACGATGGAAATGCTGCAAAGTCCCGATTGGATTTGGATCTATTTCCCGGAGTCAAAAATCCACAAGCGTTTTTAGAAATAGATGAAGGTGAAAAACCAAGACAGAAGAATTAATAATATTTGTGTTTTAGGAGAAGTTTGCACCCAAACTCAGAAGGCTCCACTCTTTCGCCCAAAAGTCAGTCACGCAGGGCAAACAACAAGCGCACTTATCGTTCACGCCTCCGCGGTTTCTCATCGGAGGAGAGAGATTGCTAACTTTCTTGCAAGCGAGGCACAACGCCTTAAAAGCAACATGACGGCTGTCGATATTTATTCAAGGATGGAAAAGTATGGGCTTCAATGGTTAGAAGCAACAATTGCAGCTTCTGCGAAGGATATCAAATTTTATCGAATGACATTTTTGTGAAAATAACTTCTTGGACCGAAAAGCGAAGAGCTACTTTTCAAAGATCGAAAAAGTTAAACAGAGAGAAGAACGTTCCTTCTCCTGTTGTCTTCATTCACCAATTCTTGTGATGCGGCTAGAAGAAGTGTTTGAGCTGTAAGAGATGGAGATGCAAATGAGTTTCATCAGTTTTCCGGACCTTCGAAAGATAATTGATCGGATAGAAGAATCTCAACGATAACGCAAGCAAGTGTATCAATATTTTCGGATGTCAATCGCGATAGAATTTCTGAAATTAACAAAAAATTGGATTCTAATTGTGTTTGTTAGACTGACCCTGTTGAGATGTTTTCGGTAAATCAATGTTTCCAGGTTGAATTGGATGAATGATTGGCAAGGAAACCACAGATCGAGCGTATCCCTCTGGAACAAGACCAACCAGTTCATCCCAAGTTAAAGGTTCAATGGTCAAATTGCGTTCCTCGAAAAACGGATTCAACGTGCCGCCCCTTCGTTGACCAAACACTTTCTCATCCTCAATTTCTGGTCGTGGGCCCGCTCTTATCCGACGCATCCATCTTCGCCGCGCTGCCACCCATTCCTCGCCCCCCAACATTGGGTAAATAAATTTTGGCTCCTTTCGCTTTGGGGGTTTCCGTATCTGCTTTGATTGCGCCTGTCGGCCCTTTTTGGGATAAACTTCCTTTTTTTGTTGCTCCATCGCTTCTTGGGACAGATCTTTCGGATGATTCGCTTTTTTTGGTGGTTTCTTCTTTCGCGGCGGTAAAGGCGGGGGGGGCGATTGACCGTCAGTTGAGGGGGGGGCCGGTTGTCCGTCGGTTGAGTTGTCCTCCCCAGCAGCAAGATGTGCGAGTTCCCGAGCTTTTTCGAATCCGTACTTGTTCACCGAAAATGTTTTTTGAGACCGTCCATCACCCTTTCCAAGGGACGCCCTCCATTCCTTGAGGAACATTGATGGGATTGATTTCTAACGTAGGATCCTACCTGGTTTGATTCGTGGAAGTAAACTCCCTTAGGGAGCATGTTTCGTTCATCCTCAGTGAGATGAAATGATGTTGTTGCGCTTGGTCGGTGTCTTTCGACTGGGCGCGGGATAGAATCCTCACTTTTTGCAATACTCGGGCGCCTCGTTCTCAAATCATAACCACCAGTTGAAGGTTGATTCAATGCTGGACCTTTCATGTTATAGATGTCTCATAAACGCCTGAATAAAAATCATAAGGAGAACAGTAGCTTTGAAAAATCGTTGCATGTGGTGTATTAAAGAGTTTTGAGAAAATCATAGTCATCCGCAATACATGAGAGTTGAGTCTCGAAAATCGGAACACTTATTCAGGTTGGAGTTCTATTGGATCAGGTTGGAGTTCTATTGGGGCAAAATAGCTGAGATCTGTGGGTTTGTCGCCACTCAATTCACCAAGTTTTTCTTGTGGTGCCTTCATCACCCCTAAATATTTTTGAGACACAATGATACAGCAATTCCCGGAACTGTCACACTGGATCTTAAAACGAAATCAAACATTTTTTTTCATTTTTTTTCTCCATCAATGAAGTTACCCTCAATTTTCTCATCTCGCCGTCATTCTGTACCCGCAGCGCCATTGGCGTCGACGGAGTCAGACACCACTAATGGCACTCCCTCCGCCTCCGCAAATATTGATAACTACCGTCGACTTCCTTCTTCCAGCTTGTTTAGTGTGCATTCTGTGAGTTGCTATTCTACTTCTCTGCAACCAATTTGTTTTATTTTTCAGACCGAACATGCGCCTGCGATCCAGCGCTCCAATTCAATGATCGACTTTGACCTTGTTCGTCAACTTTCGGAACTTTCTGACGTCGTTCAGGAGCCTGACAAACATCTCGAAATTCCATCGTTCTCTAATTCGGCACCATATAATATACAAGACGCGGTTTCAGAACCCCAACAAGTTGATGAGGACGAATTCGACTTTCATAGAGGTGATTCCGTTGAGGCAACTTGTGTTTTGTGTTCTTGGCTTGTGAGCCGGAACACACAAACATAGAAACCGACTTTTTTCTCACACTTGTCTTTCTTGACTTTTTTGTATTTGAATGTTTGTATGAGTAGTGTGCTCAGTTTTCATGGAAGGTGACGACGATTTCTTTTGTGATCAATTGACACATTTTCTGCAGTTTTGGGAAGGGGAGTTTGGTCTTGACAGCTAAACCTAGCAACAGTGGCTTGATTTCTGGGGATTCAAATCCTGACAAGAAACAAAACCACAATTGTAAGAACGCACTTTCATGTGACGAACCATGAAGATTGGATCCGAACACCGCTCTATAGATTGATTCAGCATAGACCTCATTTTCTGGGTTTCTGAGACGCAAATATGGAGTTAAAAAAAAAAAAAAACTGAGTCTACAAGTGAGAAGCTTACCGGTCTCCCAGAAGTATCGCCGATGACACAGCGCCATCGTGGCCTAATTGCGAGTCTGGTGAAACATCAATCTGGACAACAGAGTTTGTATAGAATCAGTGTGGAAGCTTACAAGGCATCCGATGTTTCCACCTGTTTCTGAAATAACCAAGAAATTTTTATTTGAGTATTCAGTGAGCCTTATATCAAATACACGACCATCAAGGTCAATTTTCAGCTGCTGAACTTTAGGACAGATGGAATCCGTTTTTTTCCATTTTCATACACCAGATGTGGTTCAGGTACGTTAAAACAGGCATACTCCAATACATTCAACGGAATGTCTGCGTGTTTATTTCACTGGTACTCTTTTTCCAAAACCCTTCATTTGTAGAGCTTCAGCTCTTTCTTGTTCTCCAGGTGGACCCAAAACAGTCATGAGCGGTACTTGTTTGGGGGGTTCATCTTGAACAGGAGTAGATCCTTCGGCACGCTCCTTCGCTAACCTAAAAAAGAACTAATGGAATTGGGACTCCACGCCTTAAACCCACTTTTCTCTTTCCTCTTTGATTCTCTCTAGCAGTTCTTGTTGCTGCCTCAGAGTCTCTTCAGCCTTTTGTTGCTCCTGGCGTTGCAATTCTTTGCGCTGCAGTTCTTGTCGTTCCAATTCTTGGCGCTGCAGTTCTTGGCGTTGCTGTTCTTGACGTTGTTTCAGCTCTTCTTGCTTCTTCTGGTATTCTTCAATTTCTCTCTTTCTGTTCTCCGCTGCCTCTTTTCGCTGGGAAATCGCTTTTTGAATTTCGGCGTTACGAAGGGAAATTTGTTTTTTAGCCTGTCATTACAAAACACTGCGATCTGGAGTCCCCCATTCAACTCACTGCAAGGGTCATGGCGCGGCGTAGTGGAACGGCGTCTTTCTTTACTTTCTCCTTCAACTCCTGCAATTCTGATTGCTGTTTCGTCAGTCGTTGGCGCTGCCTTTCTTTCCATCTAATGCTTGGACTGCAACTCACTCTGACGCAAGTGAGATAAATCGAAGTTCTACAACCGCTCTTGTTGTGGCAGGTGAGGGTTGCTTTAAGACGCTTAGAAATTGCAGAAGAAAAGTCATCCGCTGCGAAACGGATGAACTCCTTTGTTTCTACAGGAATCTGCAACGTTATTCGAACAAGTTGATCCCGTTTGATTTTGTTTTTATACACTGCTGGTCTCAGGCATTGCTCTTTCAGGAGAGCTGTATTTTCGAATGAAGCTCGTAGTTCAATTTCTGAAGAGTCTGCAGGGTATTCTGGATCTTGTCTCTGCTGAACATAAAGGTCTAACTTCAGCCCCACAGTCCCGTGAACAGACTGGTCGCATTGTTGGAAAGCTTCTGTTGCTTTCCATGGAACAGCATTAAAGACGAACTTGCGGGTTTTTCCGTTTTTGAGGGTGTCTTCATGGGTCTTGCGAGTCCTCCAAAATGGCCATGCACGCCTCAGCGTCACCCCAAGTGGCACTTGAAGGAACGAGGACACTATCGATGAAAGAATGCCTTGCTTCTTCTTCTGCTGGTCATCTCCTGAATCGCTCAGAAGAGAATCTCTCGTATGCCATTGACTGGCCTCTAAATCTTGTTGAATGAATGATTGATGAGATGAAAATGATGAACTTGATGGAGAATAATCGTCGTCTTCATCACCTAACCGATCAACAGAATCGATTTCTGATGTCGAATAGTCCTCATCGGATTCCTTCCCACTTTCCCCAATGCGCCCAGTATCTTCAAGACTCCCTTCCGCCAACACCAGCGAGTCGGAGCTCGACAGTGACGCGCAAAATTCCTTTGGTGTTTGATCAACAGCTCGAATAACGCAACCAAGGCATCTCAATTTTCCGTAGCATTCCCCTGGATTTATCCCTGCGCTTTTAAGACCCTTCTTACATTGATAACTACAAAGGAGCCAGATGGCGTGAAACCAGATATCAGAGTTGTATCACGTCGCAGTCACACACTATTAGAGGATCAATCTTACAGTTCACACTCGCGTTGAGCCGCTTGGTCCCCTTTCGTGAGGAGTCCAGATCCCAAAACTCCAAGATCACCGCTTTGAATGAATGATGCAAAGATACTCAAGAAGCATATCAATGTAAATTTAATTGCAAAAACGCATTTCATGGGCTGACAGGGCACAATAATTCTAGCACGGCATGCAAGATGCACCAGATGTAAATATTTCGTGACCACAATAAATGGTGCATTTTTGTTCAGCACAAGAACCAATTCTGTGAACGTGAAAGTCGTCTATCTTGCTGTGACCTTTACTATCTGTTATCCGTAGACTTGTTGCATAACTGGGCGAAGTTCCTCAACTACAGCGCCAGCGATCGGGTTTGGAACTGTTGCGTGGATTGGCTCGAATGCACTTCGAACGATGTCTCTGTATGCTTTGGATAAAACTGGAAGCTACGGCGTGAAGTTACCTGATACGGTTTTTTTTGAATTTGAAGGAGTCTGAATCGCAAAGCTGGCTTGATGGGAACTGGAAATGTCTGACCTTTGCTTCTGGGCAACGTAATCCTCTTCATCAGCCCTTCGCAGGGCTTCTTCTATCTTCAGTAATGCGTCCAACGAATCCAATACTTCTTGTGTGGCTTGCTGTGGGGCCTTCAGAAAAACATTTTCGTGAAACTGCTATCCCTATGCACCTACGTGAATGCGTAGCTTAAAGTTTGCGTCACCAACAACTGAATAGAACAGCATTACTTAACCTTTCAGCTCACGTGCCTACCTGCTTCTTGCATTGCTGTTTTGGAGCCTGGCTGCATTTGGCCATGAACGACAAAAACTAGAAAAAATGGGAATGCAATTACTAACATTTGCGGAAGTTTCTGGGTAACGAAGTTACATTGTTGTTCATTCTCGTGTTTTTGTTTTTTATCTTCGTGTGACAAATTAAAGAATTCGGTTCAATGGCAACCTTCATTGTTCACTCAACCGTTATGAAAAAAAAACGTGGAGAATTGTGTTTCTATCGGAAGCAACGCTTTTATGTTGTCTATTGGGGTCAGAATTCATATCGTCCAAAAGTCTCAAAGGTTCAGGAAATCCAGTGGTGTTCAAAAATCATCAGCATACTTGACAAGACTCGCATTCATCCGTGCATTCTTGCTCGCATTGTTCTCCGCATTGTTGTTCTCCGGCTCCAACAACAACTGAAACGCAACTTCAAACATCAGTGTTTATCGTGGATTGTACCGATATTGGACGCTGGACTTGCAGCAGCTCTGGCAAATCCTGAGTTGACTGAATGTTGAAGCACACTTGTTAACACTATCCCACCCGGTTGAGGTTCAGGAGGCAGATATGGCATTCCCATTGGCATACCCATAGGCCAGCCCATAGGCCAACCCATCGGACCACCCGGCGGCCCACCTGGCGGCCCACTCGGGGGAACACCCGGCGGCGGACCACCCGCCGGACCACTCGGGACCATAGGCCATTGAGGGGGTGGCGGAGCTACCCTGAGGAGCAAGCCATGTGTTCCAATTCCCTTGAAAAATAATGGGATTACGGCGGTTGCTCGCCAGTCGGTACAGGAGGCAGTTGTAGCTCTTTTCCAACACCACTGCATCAGGAAGTTACAACAACTGTTGTGTGATGCTTACTATTCCATTTCACTTGGTCCTGGTACATCATATCTGATAATCCAGATTGGGTCCAGGGAAGCCTTCTTGCACTCTTACCCGCCTCGCGTGTATCCTCCTTGTATTGCTCTCCCAGAGCCACTTGGAGACAGTTGATTGATCCCCTTTGTCTTATTGAATGACTTACTATTCCACGTCAGTGGGTGCTGGTGCTCCATGTCTGTGAGAATAAAGCACCGCGAGTTTAAGATTAAGGTTCCACCCTACCCTCCCGTAGCACCTCCTTGGATTGCCCTCCCCGCGTTGCTTATGTGAAGGCATGAGGCATTCAACTGGAGTTACGGAGGACTCACTAATTCAAATCAGTGGGTGCTGCCAACTCCCTACAAATTACTAAATTTTCACCAGCATTCCCTGTGCAAGTGTCTCACGCCTTTATGAATGCGCTGGATGCTAGCAAGAGGTACATTTGTGGGTCGGCACCCTTAAAATGAGCTTCTCACCGCTTGAATTCAATTTCGACCGTCTTCTGATCTTTGTCGAAGTTGAACAGCTCACTAGAAGAAGCAAAAGAATCAAGAAAAGATGAGACCCAGCTAACATGTCATTCAGGTCAAGGCTATTTTTTTTACATCTTTGTTTCCATGTTGCTGAGAAAAAAAATTCTGGAGAACTTTCAGTCACGAAGAAACATGTCAGAAAAACTGGAGGTACAAGGAGCTTTCCGGAACAGTCACTACCAGAGGAATGACGAACCCCTTTTTAGTTGAACAGCGACTCAATGCAGTCGATCCTTCTTCTTCAAGATCAGCGATAGGAAAGAGGCCTGCTAAATTTCGTTCTCCCCGCACACGTCCCCCACCGCAACAGTTAATCAGTCGCGGTCGACTGGCGACACTGAAGCGAGCATTGCGATTACAAGGTGTTTTTTTAGCTGCTGCATCCTCGGGAATCAACGTAGGGCAAAATGACAGCTGGATGCCATTGGAAGAAGGCCTTCGTGGAGAACGGGAATCTCAATATCTTCCACCTCTAGTGCCCTACATGTATCAACCTCCAAAAAGACAACAACAGCAATCAGCAATCCAATACCCGCAGCAACAGCCATCAGCAGTCCAATACCCGCAGCAACCGCCATCAGCCGTCCAATACCCGCAGCAGCAGCCATCAGCAGTACAATACCCGCAGCAACTGCCGGCGGCAGTTTACTACCCACAGCAGGCTGTGAAGCAGAAGGCACGAGCCAACATCAAATTCTGTGCACATCCGCCACAACTAGGCTCATTGAAACCTGGAGGCCAAGGACAGAAAATCAACCTTCCAGTGAAAGTCAAAGGGGTATTTCATGATGAAAAAGGTCGCCAACAGGACTTTGAACTTCAAAATGTAATTCCTCTATCGTTAAGGGGATGGCTGACGACGGGTGTCAGGCAGTATGTTTTAAATGTGAGTTAAGATCTTCGTTCCTGTACACTATCAAATGGCATTTTTTTAGAACCCCCAAAATTCTGGATCCGCCCAAGGTCAACAACGTGGATACCAACAACAACCTGGATATCAACAACAACCTGGATATCAACAACAACCTGGATATCAACAACAGCCTGGATACCAACAACAACAGCTTGGATACCCGCAGTATCCGAACAACCAGCAACCCAACAATCAGCAAAATGGACTGCCTCTCAGTCTAGGTCCCCAACTAGATGAAGTCGCTCCCCCTCCACCTAAACCTCCTTCAGTTGCGTCCGTCCAACCAACGCTTCCTCCAACGCCAACGCTTCCTTCAGCCAAGCCTGATCCGCCGCCTTCAAACAATGGGAACTTCTTGCCCTCGGTGGAACCACCACCTGCTGTGGTAACGCCAACCCCCCCTGTGTCGGTCAAACCACCTTCCGTTGTACCACCAAGCGTGCAAAGCGCTCCTCCAAGCGTGAAGAGCGAGCGTCGAAGAGTCCAGGCCCCCATACCGATTCCTATCCCGATCCCTGTGATGACTGGTAGGCTCGGGCTATTCATTTAGGAGCTATACGGCGCTTGTTTTAGATCAACCCTACTTGCCGCCCCCCACCGCCAATTCCTATTGTCATCCAACCGAAGGAAGGCAGTGCCGTTCCAGGCGCCGTTGCAGTCGCGGCAGTTGGTTCTGCAATTGTTGGGAGTGCTGCTTGGTTCCTTCTGAGGAAAAAGTCAGTCCCAAATCTCTCGACACCCTCATCCTGCTTTCTTCTCTTCAGAAAATCTCCAGATGGCACGTGCGTCCATGGACTTCATTGTTGTGACTGTATTGAATGTTCTCCCTGTATGAATGGTGCAGTGTGCTCTTGTGTATGTCATGGCGCTCAAACTTTGATTATTGAGCGCCAGCCGTCGCGAACGACAGATATTGAATTCCAGCTTCCTCCTTTTTGAGTATTTTATGTTCCGTGTGTCTGTTTTTAAGTAGACCTGTTTATGTAGATGTTGTGGTGATTTTTGTGCCTTTTGAATCGCGCAACTACTGTGAACTCGTCATCAATTGGGAAAGAAGACCCTGTTGAGCTTGATTGTGAAACGACGCACGTGCAGAATAGGTGGGAGTTCCGACAACCGTGAAATACCACCGCTCTTCGTTTTTTCCGTCCTATTGAGATTCGCCGAATTCTTGATGAGCAACGTGGGTGACAGAATCAGATGACTGAAATGGACAAAAATAGTATGTGGGGAGACCACAGAAACGACAACCATAACGACAACAACAACCCCTACAACCACAAGTTGTACGACTACGACGATAACTGCGGCATTGAGGCCCAACGTCGAAGAGTTGGAGAACCGTGGTGATCGTGGAAACAGAGGCACGAAGAACATGAGCGTTGAGTTTCAAAGCTAGATTTAGACAAAACACCTCATTGCTTAAACTAAATAAGATCAGCTTCTTCTCTGAGATACTCCCCAACGTCAGATTGATGAAAAACAACGATTGCTTCTGTATCGGAAGCTCTCATTTCACTTGTTGAACGAGAAGTCACACCGAAACCTGAAAAAGAAAGACTCAGCAGGTAGAAAACAAAATTGAACTCACCAAGTGGAACATCTCCCATCGACAACACAACGACCCCAGCATTCTTATCCGTTTGCTCAGTGACGCGTCCTAGATGGCGCTGCAGAAAGAAGCACCAAGTTTTCCAGAAACGTCGCTACCAGAAAGTCTCACCTTCAAAACATGATTTCCATAAATAAAACTTTGTTCTCCTGCTGGCTTCACCCAAACCTTGTGCGTCGCAAAACGAGCAATCCACGGAAGAGAAGTGACGTGAAGACGAAACTTCTTGGTTTTTGAAAATTTTCCAATGCAAGTTCCTAAACTGATCTGAACACACACCAGATTGAAGACAGACAAGATGAAAACACTCACCAAGTTTTTTCTGGGAACACTCCCAGCAAATTTACAAACTTTCGCCGAAACGATGAAAACCCGATCCTTTTGAAGGCGAAAAACGTGCGGATTTTCCTTGTTGTCGACAATATTGACAAGATTGTTTCCGACGCTATGAACATAAAATAATAATTCATCGCGATCATGATTGACTCACAATTTAGCAAGTTTCTCAAATACAATCTTGCTTTCTTCTTCCTTCAGCGGCCTCATCTTTATTATGGCAGTTGGACCAGGACCTCGACACAGAGTTGGTACAAGTTTGGTCAAAAGTCTGTAACATGAGAAAAAAAGGGCGCGCGAGGCAAGTCAGGTCTAACACCTCCCCTCAACGGGGCAAACTAAGGACTCAGTAAGCCGTTGATGGCGTGGACCCGGAAGGGCTTTGGTGAGAAAGTCCGCAAGTTGATGCTCCGTAGGAACAGAAAGAACCTTGAACGTGCCTGAGTTGACATATTCACGAATTTTGTGGTATTTGATGTCGATGTGCTTTGCTCTTTTATGATGCATGGGATTTGTAGCGATGGCAACTGCAGCGTGATTGTCACAGTGGAGTGAGATCGGAGATGGGATTTGGAGCTGGAAGTGAGAATTCTTGAAGGACTTGAAGAAGCCAGAAAACTTCACTGGCAGTTTGGGCCAGAGCGAGATATTCAGCTTCTGCAGTTGAGGTAGAGACGGCTGATTGTCTTCGACTGAATCCACTGAATGGGAGCGTAGGATGAGAGAACCAGACGTGGATTGAGTCAAGACAACCACCGTAGTCAGCATCAGAGAAAGCATGGACGATGAGAGAAACTGGAGCGCGACCTTGAGAGCAAAATTTGAAGTCTTTTTTAAATAACGAAGAGTGTGTTTGCTTGCCAGTGAGAAGAATTGCTTGACGCGTTGAACTGGCTCAATTTTCCAACGGTGTAGACGAGGTCGGGGCGTGTGGCGATAGCTGCATACATGAGACTTCCTGTGAGAGATTGATACTGAGCGTGGGATGAAATGCAAGATGAGTGGGAACTGGTTGTTTCTTCTTCAAGGGTTGAGTGAGGCGGAGATTGGGTGGAAGAGGTGTGGAGACGGGGTTGGCGTCGTTCATGTGAAATTGATTGAGAATGTCTTCGAGGTATGTTCGTTGACGTAAATGAATAGTGCGGAGTGATCGATGGCGGATGACTTCCATGTTCAAAAGTTGATTGACAGGGCCGAGGATTTTTCATGAGTATTTGGATTGGAGTAATTCTTGGACATGTTGGATGAAGGCTGGATTTGGACCTGCGAGAAGAAGATCATCGACGTAAAGGGCGAGGTAGACGAAGTCGTTTTCGATGTGGAGAGCATAAAGTCCGGGTTGTGCGAGAAGTGGACGAAATCCAAGTGCGGCGAGGGTGGAGTCGATTTCTGAAAACCAGCAAGGGGGCGCTTGCTTGAGGCCATACAAAGGCTTTGTTGAGACGGTAGACATGATGTGGAAATGATCGTTGACGAATCCGGGAGGTTGACGTACAAAAACTTCTTCATCGAGAATACCATTCAGGAAGGCATTGTCGACGTCGAGATGTTGACATTCCCAGTCGAAGAACGCAACAAGGGCAAGGAGAAGACGGAGGGCTGGAAGAGAGACTACAGGAGCAAATGTTTCGTTGAAGTCGATTCCAGAAAGTTGGCGGGAACCTGGAACGCAGAGACGAGCTTTGTATCGTACTACGTTACCATGGACATCTTGTTTGCGCTTGAAAACCCAAAGAACGGGCAAAGGGGACACGATTGGGAGGAAGTGGAATGAGGGTCCAGGTGTTGTTGTGTTCGATGGCTTGGAATTCGCGATTTAGTGCTTCAATCCACTGAGGAGCATCTTCACCGGTGGTTGCCTGTTTGAAAGTGCAGTCGCTGGCAGAGTTGACGAGTGTGATCGATTCGGAGTCCGGGAATGTGGAGAGTTGAAAAGCGGATGGGTCAAATGGGGCTGGTGGAGGTCTTGATTGGCGTCCAGAGCGTGTTATGTAAGGAGGCTTGGCGGGTTCTGAAGGAGTTGAGGGTTTCAGTGTGCGAGAGGAGAGTTGTTGTTGTTGAGGAGGTTGTTGTTGTGGAGAGGGGGGTTGTTGTTGTTGTTGAGAAGGTTGTCGTTGAAGAGGAGGTTGTTGTTGGAGAGAAGGTTGTTGTTGAGGAGAAGGTTGTTGTTGGGGAGAAGGTTGTTGTTGAAGAGACGGTTGTTGTTGAAGAGAAGGTTGTTGTTGAAGAGAAGGTTGGGGAGAAGGTTGTTGCTGTGGAGAAGGTTGTTGTTGAATAGAAGGTTGTTGTTGGAGAGAAGGTTGTTGTTGAAGAGAAGGTTGTTGTTGGGGAGAAGGTTGTTGTTGGGGAGAAGGTTGTTGTTGAAGAGAAGGTTGTTGTTGGGGAGGTTGTTGTTGTGGAGAGGGGGGTTGTTGTTGTTGGGGAGAAGGTTGTTGTTGAAGAGAAGGTTGTTGTTGGGGAGAAGGTTGTTGTTGGGGAGAAGGTTGTTGTTGAAGAGAAGGTTGTTGTTGGGGAGAAGGTTGTTGTTGAAGAGAAGGTTGTTGTTGGGGAGAAGGTTGTTGTTGAAGAGAAGGTTGTTGCTGTGGAGATTGTTGTTGGAGAGGAGGTTGTTGATGTTTGTGGCTTTCGTCTGGATATGTGAAGGCAGGGCTTGAGGAAGTGAACTGTTGAAGAATGAGGGGACCAGCTGGGGAATTTTCGTTGAAGGTGACGTCGCGTGATCGAATGAGTGAACGTGTCTGAGGCTCGATGAAGATGTAGTGGGAATGATGTTGACCAAAACCGACAAAAATGACTTCGCGGGACGCAGGAGAGAGTTTGTTGGGACGGAGATCTTTGTGAATGTGGACGTAGGCGAGGCATCCGAATGTTCGGATATGTTGTAGATCAGGAGGTTTGCTTGTCCAACGGTGGAAAGGAGCGATTTCGCGAGGTAGTGGTTGAGTTGGTGACCGGTTCTTCAAATAACAGGCAGAGAGAATGGCGTGTCCCCAGAATTCGGATGGTAGCTGTGACCAGATCAGCATTGAGCGGGCTTTTTCTACAAGTATTCGATTGAGACGTTCCGCGACGCCATTTGATTGACTGGAGTAAGGTACTGTTGGATTGAGGCGGATTCCATGGGTTCGGCAATACTGTTGAAATTCATTGGATAGGAATTCCCCACCGTTGTCGCATCGTAGTTCTGATAGGGGAATCTGATGGAAGTTGATTGCTTGGGCATGGTACCAGTAGAAAGCTGTGAATGCATCTGATTTGCGTTTCAGGAGGGCGAGGGAAGAGTAGCGGGAGAAGTCGTCTATAAATGTGATGAAATATTTGTGTCCGTCCAAATCGTTGGGAAATGGTCCGCAGAGATGCGAGTGTACGAGTTGAATGGTCGGTAGCTTGAAGTTTTTCGAGTTTTGGGGAAAGGGTGTACGCGTTTGTTTTGCGAGGGCACATACACGACACGGTTGATTTGAAGGAGAGACAGGTAGGTGGAGAAGAGAGCAGTGTTGGTTGTTGAGATGTCCCATTCGACGATGCCAGAGTGTGGAGGGGTCAGATTGAGTGTCTTGAAGTTGGATTGTTGCAGCAGTGGTTGTGGAATCATGAAAAGTGGCAATGTAAAGACCGTTGGTCCTTGGAGCAGTGATGAGTGTTGTTCCTGAAGCATCAGTGATGGTACAGACGCCATTGAGATATGTGGTATCCTTTGTTTTCGGCGAGGCTGGATGAGAAAAGGTTGTAGGAGAATCGTGGACAAAAGAGGACGTTTGTGAGTTGATTGGTTCTCCATCGTGAGCAGTGAGTTTGACAGTTCCTACTCCTTCGGCAGACGTTGATGTGGAGTCTGGGAAACTGATTTGGCGTGTGATTGGTTCGAGGTGTGTGAAAAGATGAATGGCACATGTGTTGCGTTGCACCGGAGTCGATGACCCATTGTGACGACGTTGAATTGGTATTGGTGGGTGAAAAAACGGTCAGTTGGATTCTTGTGTTTTGTGTTGGATGTTCGTCGATTGTATTTGTGGAAGTGTAGTTGATGTTGTTAGTGAATTGTTGTTGAATGTACTGTGGATTGTGTGTGAACATGGCGTGGCTCTGTGTGCGGTTATTTTGTGAGTTGTAGGGTCGACGGTGAAAGTTTGGGCGTGTAGGAGGTCTAAATGGACGTGGAGTTCGAGGTTGCGATGGGCAGACGGAGGGAAAATGTCCGTGCCCCTGACATTTTGAACAGATATAGTTGTATGGCGGGCGGTGTTGTGGTCGAGGGACGGTTATTGAACGAAGGACGGGGTCGTTTGCTTGGGATGTGGATGAGGTTTCAGAGTCGAATCGGAGGAGTTGGGTGCATGCGTGGAGGAACATGGCGTTGGGGTCGTATTTGATGATATTGACAATTTGGTTGAATTTATGGGGCAGATTTTTAGTTAGTGCGGTAATTTTTTCTTGTTCAATGAATGTTTTGCCCTTCAAGTTCTGAGATGTTTGTTTGACTGTCGTGATGTGGTCCGTGATTGAATTTGATGGTGGCCACTTGATGTCAAAGAATGTAGTTATGAGAGTAATTTGATCATACCTGCCTGTTGTGAATGCTTTTTGGAGATCTGTCCCAGATTTCAGCCGGAGTTTTGTCGATGTTCACATAATCAATGGTTTCGTTTGACATCATTCGCACCAAGAGGCCTTTCGCCAAGTCATGGTCCAATGCGGAGGCAGTTGGATCTTCAACTTTGATGTTGCGAGAGATGGTCCACCAAACTTTCTTGTCGAGAAGGACTGCCTGGCCTTGTTTCTTCCAGGTGAAGTAGTTTGACGATGTGAGTTGAGGGAGTGGAATGGAATTCATTTTGTTTTTTGACGGAGGCCAAAAAAAAGAGTGCAGGAGAGAAGCGGATGTGTAGAGAGGGAACGAAAAGGCTTCTGTTCTAGTGGAAGATAGGGCTCATAACCTATTATTGTTGGCAGTTGGACCAGGACCTCGACACAGAGTCTTGTCGACCTGGACCAGGGACAGTGACTGCTTACCTTGACGACAAACAAGGCGGTACGACCGGTACGGCGAGTGTGGGACATGTTAGCTGTTTTTGTTTGTTTTTTTACCGGCTCTCGGACTGGTTTTTTCTACTACTACTTATAAGGGTTACAAAATTTGCTCTTTCCAATATGTCAAATTTAAAATACAATCAGGATGCGTTCAACGCGATGTCCAAACTCTCGGCTAG